ATAACTAGAATACTTGCGAGGAATATACCTGGTTTAGAATTTCAGAGTAACCTTTACTTTTCTATTCTTTTGCTCAACGGTAAGGTTCACTCAGAACATTTACTACAGTGAAATCCTATGGTCCGCTCAGCTTGCTAGATATAAAGTCCACTAATGCGAAATGTAACATCCTGATTGATCTTCAACTTATATTTGTACATCTTCCAGTATTTCCACCGACACTATCCAGCTCTTTCTTACAAAAATCATAAACTTTCAAAATATTTCTGGTATGTAGGCCGTGGTCGACTGGAACCTGAAATAACAATCGTTTCATCTGCTACTGCGGCAGATTTTATCAGTGGAATGTGCGTTAACTGAGATTTCGAAATATAACTTTCGTCCTTGCAGTCAATACACATACCACTGATGATGTCCTCTGCCATAGTGGTCATCTACTACTACGGAGATTGGTACTTCGGGTTCCATTCGACCACAGCCTACTAGCCCAGATTTTGTTCTCTTCAATCGTAACTCCGGAGTATACTCGTATCTATTATCCTGGAGTTCAAAGTTAAAGAGATAGAGATGTATACTATTTCAAAAGATTACTTGGTTGAATACACACCCTGTTTGCAGGGTGGCATGAAAAAAAATGTATTCGAAATATTCTCCGACCTGTACCGAGCTTTCAATGTGCTGAATCCATACATTGTGAAAATGAGTTGTTTTTATTAGGGATCCACAGACAAGTAAATGGTTGATTTCTTTCATTTCTAGTTGATATAGTATGATTTCAATTAATGACGAACTTTCAAATCATGAAGTGCTGAATCTGAAAGCTTCATAGGCGAGTTTTTTTGATCCACTTCTTTTCTTGAGGCGAANACAATTTTTTTATATACTGATTGTTTGACGCTTAAGAGAATGCGAATGGACGGTAGTCGGTCGGGTAGACGTGTGTGCTTTGCTCCTCTCACTCAATCGGTGGTTCAAGCCGCAGGCCGAACAATCTATTTTCATTTGGTATCATCCAACCCGTGTTGGGAATCACACGTTAAAAAGTGAGACCTTGTTGATCCTTAGCTCGCTCAAGTTTGACTTACGAGAATTATCGAGCGTAGAGGACGACAGCTGGTTGAAGAATGAACAGATTCTAAATAGCTCTTTGTGGTTCATGCCTTTGGCACTTAAAGTAAATATTTCAATAATAGAAGAAGACTGACTCAGTGTCACTATTTTTCGGGTGTGAAGGCCGTGGATTTTTGGAATTTTTTTCTGGCATTTCGCTAGCGTGAGTGGCAGGTTTATACCTACATCCTGGATTACTATCCGATGACTGAAAATTACAGTTTCGTAACGCGTATTTATGCTGTGTCAGGTAGTTTGGATTAGGCAATTTGTCGTTAACATTCATTGACTCTTTTCTACCTGCTATCATGCTGTTTGCTATCCTTGAACTTCTCAGAATGGCATTCCATGTTCGACAAAAGGGACTCACTATCAGCAGCTGGGGTCTATCGCATACCGTGCACTTGTGGGACGGTGTATATCGGAACCACCAAAAGATCTATGGAAACAAGGCTGAAGATGTATGAAAAAACTGAAAACGGACAAGTCAACTGTGGCAAAACACGCACTCAGTGAAGGATTCTGTTTGAAAACACACAACCCATTGCTCCCAACGAGGAATACCATATACGACTGGTACGGGAGGCAATAGAGATCCACAAACACGGATAATTTCAACAGAAAAAACAAGCGGTTAACCTCAATTGAATTGGAATCCCATTCTGAGAAGTTCAAAGGTTGCAAACAGTATGCCAGCAGGTAGAAAAGAGTCAATGATTGTTAACGACAGCCATCGGATAGAAATTCAGGATATATAAACCTCTGAAGAAGCAAGCCACTCGCGCCAGCGAAACGTCAGGAAGAAATGCCAACAATCCACGGCGTTCGATCCCAAGAAATATTGACATTGAAAACTTCGGCCGCGAAAGCCTTAACCATTTTGTCAAATAGACAAAAAGTGAAGAATAACCGAGACCCAAATTCAAACTCAGAATATTCATGAATATTACTGGAGTTTTTTCCCAACACCAAACCGTTATTTTAACACCTCGACACGTGTTTCGCTCACCAAGTGATCATTTTCAAGAGGAAGATGAAACTGGAAGGTCACAGAGGAAGATCTTCCTCTTGAAGATAATCACTTGGTGATCAAAATTCGTGTCGAGATAATAAAATAACGGTTTGGTGTTGGGAAAAAACTCAATATTCTGTACTACACCAAAGGTTCCAAACATGGCTCACAAGTTCAAAATATTCCTATTGCAATTCATTCCAAAATAGACGTTATCCTTATGATAATTTTTGAAGTGAATTTTATACTAACTATGGATCTGAAAATTATATTTATAACTTTTTATTTACACATCTTGGAATTATTACAGCCGACAAACAAGCTCAAGTGAATCTCAGTTATCAAAAGACTTAGAACCCCTGAGAAGTTACATGGGCTCAATAACTTTGAGTGAAATACGAAGCTGGGATGATTCAGGGACTGAAGCAAGAGGAGAAACTGGTGAATATTCAAAATATTTCATTATTGAAGTTATATTAATTATATGACTTAAGATCTTGAAATGTGCTTCTGATTTATCATTCCAAAGCGTCTACTATCTTGGTGTTATATGTAGACATACAAAAAGAAAGATGAATGTATGTACTTGTACGTTCATACTTATTATGTTACGGATAGATAATCCAATTCATTCAAAATAAAAATTATCCTAAAGGGATGCATATGAAATAATCACCATTTTAGTTGAGTGATCTCAACTGTCATTTGATATTATTGCGAAAACTTTTTCATTTCGATTATATGTTAGATTTTCACTCGACAGTTCCGAAACAAACGATACATGTTTCGCCTACAATAGCATCTTCAGGCGTCAAAATACATGTAATGTGACGCCATGGATTTTCATCTGGTATGTCAGTTCTATCATATTTCTTTTTTTTAATACTTGAGTTTTGTACTACATGGTTGGATAGGAAACACATAACTTTGATTCTTCTGTAAAAAGGTTTGAAAATACATGTGTCTTTCTTGAATCTACTCATAGGTAGGTCGGTAGCCGGGCGGTTCGACGTGGGTGCTGTGTTCACTCTCTCAATCGACCAATGTGTGAGTCGTTGGTTCAAGCTGCAGGCTGAACGATCGATTTTCACTTGCTATCGTCCAACCTGTGTTAGGAATCACACGTCAAAAGGTAAGACCTCGTTTGTCCTTAGCTCGTAAAAGTTTCGACTTCTGAGGGTTGTCGTTCGTAGGGGTGCGACAGCTGGTTGACATATATTTAATCATATTTTAACAAATGTTATAACAGGCAGAGAGGCATGGAAGGGAGGACCTCCAATAAATGCAGAGGTTGCTTGTTACACAGACGGCTCAAAACCTGAAGAAGGTGTAGGAGCAGGAATCTATATAATGAAACTAAAGACAAAAGTCTCACTAAGCTTAGGTGAAAAAGTGACGATATTCCAGGCATAAACGGCAGCAATACGTCACTGCGCAGAAGAGTTACTAAGGCAAGAGTTTAAGGGAAAGACTACTGAAATATACTTTGATTGCCAAGCAGCTATAAAAGCAATTAGCTCCATGCAGGTCAATTCCAAACTGGTCTGGAACTGCCTAGAAAAGCTACAAGAACTAGGTAGTCAAAACAGACTGTCATTAGCCTGGGTACCAGGCCACATAGGATACAAGGGCAACAAAGAGGCTGATTCACTATCACCAGCAGGAGCACGATGCTCCCCCATTGGCCCAGAACCCTTTTGTGGTACAGCAAAAGCGCTGCGAAAAACTTGTAACAGCAGCTGGAAGGAAAAAATGGTGGAATAAGGCGCCGGGTATGAGACAGGCCAAAGAGTTCATTAAAGAGCCATCGCCAAAATTCACGGAGCACCTACTAAGTCTGAATAGACTATCAACTAGAGTTCTGGTCGGGCTATTGACGGACACTGTAGACTCAACAAACACATGAACAACATCGGACTGGCAGACACAGCCCTATGCAGGCTTTGCTAAGAGGATGAGGAAACCTCCGTACACATACTATGCTATTGTGAAGGTCTGTCGAAGATAAGGTTTGCAACATTGGGAGAGGAAAAACCACAACCCTCTCAATATATGGGAAACTTGAGGTCTGGCCTATGGAGTCTAGTTACAAGGACGAGCCTAGACAAGGAACTCTAGCATACATGAGGGCACACACAATAGACCTGCAAAGGTCGCAGTGTAGTGGCTGTTCAGCACAGAAGCCCCATATTGATCTAATCTAGTCCAACAAATTCTGATAGAAATAAATTCAGTTAGCTTGACAAAGACACCGAAGCTGTATAAATAGTAATTTGTATTTTCAAAATGAAACTGAATTGAAACTGAAGCCAAAGACTGCATTGAAGGATCAATTTAAAAAAAAAGTGAAATTTCGAGTCACATTTTTGAAGGTGAACCAAGTACCAGTACAGGAAACTTGACCATGATTCAAAAAAGAGTTTTGAGTGAAAAACATACAAGGATAAATAAAAATGTCATTCAATAATTTACTGAATATGAAGTTTGTCTATCAATTTTTATAGCAAATTGCTCGAACTGTGATATTAAATTTGAAATTACCTGAAAAAAGTGAATAAGTAGTTTTCTGGAAATAACGTTAGTTAGGTTTTCCATGTTATCGTTCCTAATAAAATAATTTGTATTTTATTGTGAAAAAAACTTCCAAATGATGTTTGATGATGCATGATGCAACAAAGATGCACTAATTACACAAATAACTATTGGTGAAATTATAATTCCATAATGAATAAACTACATTGAATACATCAGTTGTTTGACATTGATTTTGGCATGAGTTTTAAACTCTTGTATATACCCATATAATCTTATATTTTCTAAAGTACATTTACATAACATTTACATTTCATTTGAAAAAATCAAATTTTGGTACGACATACGTCTATTTTGACATCCTACATATTGGAAAATTTTCAAAAAGCCCAACGCGTTGATTTCATACAGAATATTTTTTGATAACTTTACTCCTTCTCCTGGATATTCTAACGTAAACTTTATATCCTACATACACTGTATGTCTTACTATTTCATCAAAATATGGAATATATGGAATTATGGTACCTATTACTTTATATTATAAATATAACAATGGTAACAAATGATAGCATTCATACTTCTACTGAGACTGTCTTTCATTTCTCTAAATGTTTTCCTTTTTTTTTCAGAAAGTTCAGAAGCCTCTAGAAGGGAATCAATGGCTAGTAGATCTATGTCAGACTGGAATTGGTCAGAAAATAGAAGTGATGACAAAATATCGCCCAGTACATGTAGTATGAATAGTAGTGTATTCAAGGTTAGAACAATAATTTCATTCCTTGTGGATATGCGTAGACTTTCGACGGATAATTCTGTTCAGCATTAATGGCCAAAACAACACACGATGTGAAATAACCAGAGTGTCATTCATTTCGGATAAAAGTAGTCAGAGTAGTTGTGCCTTTGGTGTAACACACCTAGAGGTAAAATGCAAGTTTTTCAGAAATTTTGGGCATGAAGCGTATATCAGCGAAGTTCTTCTAGAATTGCTGAGTTTTGTCCAAAGAAACAATCGCATCAGCATTGCTCAGGAATTTTTGAATGACGTCAACGGCGATCCAGATTTGCTTGAAAGGGTCATAATTGGTGACGAATCATGCCTATATGGTTATGACATCGAAACCAAAGTCCAATCGTCCCAGTGAAAGGGCCCAGGAGAGCCAAAATTACAAAAAGCACGCCAAGTTCGATCAAACGTCAATGTTATGCTCACTGTTTTCTTCGATTATCGTTGCGTAGTTTATCAGGATTTCTTGCTGCATAGTCGTTCGGTCAGTGAGGAGTATTGTCTTGAAGTTATGCTCCACTTGCGAGAAGCAATACGAGGGAAACATCCGGTATCGTGAAAAAAGAATTCATGGCTTTTCCATCACGATAATGCACCTGCTCACTCCTCATTGTTCATTCGTATTTACTAGATTTGGCCCCCTTGTGAGTTTTTTTACTGTTCCCAAGAGACCCATAAAAATATTATATGCGAGCGCTTTCGATAGCAGGATGTGCTATCATCTTTGAGGCTCTGCTCTAACTGAATGTTTCATCTTCTTGTTTGTTCTTTTCTACTGTTAGCACGCCATAGTTCAGGTATTTGTCCTCTCCTGTGATCCGGATGTCTGTTTAAATTTGTCTGTATTTGGGTTACATCAGGTAATATCTTTTGTATTGGAATTTCTCAAGTTTCATTGTTTCTAGGAATGTGTATTGGATTGTGTAGTATATTGAATATTAGGTCTTGTGTTTTGATTTGTATTAATTCCTCGATAACAGAATTATGACTATGAATGAACTTTCTTGTCCATAGAAACATATTGGGAAAAATATTCAGGGATATACCTAAATATTTCAGGCTAATCTTCGTAAATCTTCGACTTTTCAAAAGAACATTGATTCAAAGTTCATTGTCGTTCACGTAAACCAAGATTCACTGAGACAAGATGTTGGGAAATGAAAAGTCGGAGTTACATGAAATATATCGGTCAGATTAAGCAAACTATCGAAACTCATTTCACTCATTATTGAACTTTCAAAGGATGAAAATATTTTTTTATTTTTCAGAATTCAGGCGAAGAACAAAAACCAGTAGATACATCTTTGGGAATCTTAGAGTTATCCCTTACATATGATAACGAGAACAATACCCTCCATTGCACCGTGTATCGAGGAAAAAATCTGATACCGATGGACATGGCCGGCTTATCCGATCCATTTTGCAAACTGAATATTCTGCCAAATGCAAAAAAATCTACGAGATTGAGAACGAAAACCGTGCACAAAACCCGCAATCCCGAATTCAACGAAAACCTCACATTTTATGACATCACCGAAAGTGATTTGATGAAGAGATCATTGCACGTATTAGTAGTAGATGATGATAAATACGGGCATGATTACATGGGGGAAACTAGGATTAATTTGGCTAAGTTGAAATTTCAAAATACTATATACGTGAGTAGGCAATAATGGCAGCAGCTGGTTTTTTTCTAAATATATTCCAATGAAAATTCGACTCTTTTCCCTGTACTTCCAAAAAGAATATGTATCCAAAAGCTCACAAAAATATATCTATTTCTCCACCTGCGTATGATTTGAGTGAAATCACTGAGACTGTGTGGCATGTTTCTTGATTTTGAATTCAAGTTAACTGAACCACAATATTATTATAAATTCAGGAAAGGATCGTTTTTCATTCATCAAACAGAGTGAATATTCGTCGATTCAGTCAAATATTAAATGCTAAGTCAATTCACAAGTCAAATATATACACCCATGTGATCCATGATTACTGATTGCCTTTCCAAGATAAAATATAAATCTGTTTTCATAAAAGCCACCTCATTTCTTAGTACAGTCAAAAGGATACACTGAAAAGGTGTCCTTTTCATTTCGCTCCTGAAAAAGCTGACACTTCGAAGGATCAAGGGCAGTTAGAGAATGATTATCTGCTTGAAATATGATACGTCCAATCGTTAAGCTGATCGAATAAAACCAAATGTATCACCATCAGAAATATATTTTTCAATTTCATTACATCAACTATTCATTTTCAGCTTGCTGTGCCTCTGGAGAACTTACGAACTGAACAAAAAGGACCAGTGCCGGCTCTTGAACTCAACGAATGGTTCGACGATTTGTGGTCTAGAGGGCAGATATTGCTGTCTCTATGCTATAACACTAAGAAGAGAGCATTGCTTGTAACCGTTGTTCGATGTGTGAATTTGTTACCAATGGATAATAATGGCTTGTCTGATCCCTTTGTCAAACTGTAAGTAAATCTACTATTCTTATTTTGTGTTACAAAACTTGAATTTACGACGTATGTAGGCCCAGAATGAGTGAGTCTATTTGACACTCCACTGCAACTCGCGATGATATATCGTGGCTCCATCTATTCAAACTTGATCAAATAAATTCAGCTGTTTAATGAAACCCATTGCTCTACCTATCAGGTGAGTTATTTTACAGCAGGTCAGCTGCAACGCAAGGCAAGTGCAGAGTTGAATTGTCCACTTCAAAGTTGACAGTTGGTACATTTTTCTCAGTCTAGGGAGGATCTGATCGGCGGTCAGTCTGCGCGACTTGCTTCGTAGTTGAGTAACACCAATATGTGGTTTGGAAAGTAGGTCTTCTGTGACACCCTTTCATGGCTGCAGGGTACCAATGCACCCACCAAACAGGAGATGCCCTCCTGATGCAGGCCAGAATGTGCAGCTGTGGAATCGTACTTATGGATCATCTTCTTGAGTACTCCGTATATCAGCCACTATGGCATATTGAAGAGTTTCCGGTTTATCGGTCGATATTGAGGTTGTCAGATGTTCCAAGTGTAATATTCTCACCTTAATGACCGTGTAACTTTTCCAGCCATACCTGACGATATTAGATTCCGCCATACAGAGCTTTTTCGCTTCTGATTTTAGTGAATCATCGTTTGAGCGTAAGCGTTTGCTGACCTTATCAGGGGTATGTTTTTTCCCCTAATGCAGATTCTGTTTCGGATGCTCAACAATGTGACGCCTTCCTTGGGGAGGCGAAGAGTTCATGAGTTGGGGAACTGAAAAGATCTTAATTTTGCTTCAACGTTTTGGGGAAAACAGTTGGTGTCGTATAGTTGACGTATGTCACTTCTGTAGACTCGTGATTTTTGGTTACTTCATGGTATATGGAGGGGCCCACAGATAGTTGGGGAAAGAAGGTCCATTATGATAGTGTGAAAGCTTTATACGACAAGAAGGCACTCGATATGTCGACAGTTCCATTAGTGACACTAAGTGAGTTTCATTGATGCATATAGTTTACGATGAGCCATCATCTAGGAGAAATCTCATCACTTTTTCTGGCAATGGTATTCTAATGCCTCCTGCTATGATGAAACGGTATTTGAGGATTTCCACACTAATTATTGGGATTGGTAGCAAAACATATATTCCAGAAATTCCTACATTCAATCAGAAACGAGTAGATTTGATGCTATAAGTTAGGTTGAAAAAGTTGCGTTGGGTTCAATAGATAAGTTTAAAAATCATAAACTGATGAAACCTAATCTATGGAAGAATGGAGAAAGGAAAATTCCAGAAATTCTGCTTTCATCATCTAAGGGTTTGCAGAATGCACTGAGGCAGTTTAGTCCAGACTTTTGAAGTTAGACTAGAGAAGCATTAATGGGTGCTCGTTTTATAGTGTAACTACGAGGATAACTAGTGAAAACACGCTCTTCGAGTAATAACTGACAGAAACAATCTGTGAACTTCAAATTTGCCATTTCAAAACTAGTAGAATGATCAACACTTGAAATTCATTACGAACTGTCTCATAAGTAGATTTACCAATTATTAGTTATTTAAAATTTATAGTTTTTTACCGCCAATTAGATACTCTTTCTAACAAGTTTCAGAAGCCTTCAATAGACTTGTAGGTGCTGAGGAAAGATGACTTCTCAACGGGCAATTCAAAGCTGCAATATCAGAAAAGGATATTGCAGTGAATGTTTTTCTACAAACCTGAGAACTATCCGAATGATTACTGTACCTATAGCGTTATTTCATTTCTAGACCGTTGTGGTCTTTTGATTATAGAAGCTTAAAATTGATTCATTGTTTGGAAGAAGGTTGGAAGAATCAAGTAGCATCACCTTGATTGAAAGTAGTTTCAGAACTAATCTTTATTGTATCAAGGTTGTTTTCTTGGTGTTGTGGTCCCGTAAATCCATGAATCCATGTAGGTTTTGTCGAAGTTATTAAACAACTTAGAAAAAAGGGAATCAAGTCCTTTCATAGGTATTTTGTGCATTCAGGATTATATTCCAACCATAGAATCTTGATATATAGAAGTTGAAGAAGCATATCCGAATACTCTTGTATTGGAAGTCTATTGAGGGGGATACATCCATTTACTTATATCGACAGGAGTCGAAGGTATATCTGTGAGGCAAATTTATTAAAATATACCCATTCACCAGCCAATATCGACCCCATTTGATATTTTCTCGTGCTGTATCTGACACTTGAAAATGATCCTCTAATAATTGTGGTATATCAGTGTCAGCAGCCGTTATAACATTATTACGGAGTCCGTTTCAGTGTTGTGTTAGAGATTATTCTGATGGCAATATATCGAAGTCTAGAGATGCGTTTCTGTTATTGTACTTCATTTACACTAATAGGGTTATAAAAGGACTAGAATATTACGTATTACTAAAATTAATAGGTTTCCAACCATATAACAGTTTTACAGCTCTACCCATCAAGTCATCAAAAATATCAACCGGTTCGCCCATAGAAGTGGCAAAAAGCCGAACTGTTCAAGAGTCCATTTTTAATGAAAAATTAGTTTTAGTGACTGTTTTGTAACAAAAGTATTTTGAAAATATAGACTTTCTATTATCAAATAATTCTTTCGCTAAACTATTTTTTACAAAATATTCAAAAAGTTTGAATTTTGATGACTGGAGATAACTGTTTTAGAGCTATTTTCCGGGTTTCTTGGCCGTGGTCTGCAGGTTTCTTGCCTAACGTTTCCCCCATGACTGCGGTTGTAGATAATACATTTTTGAATCGTTTATGCGGTTTCATACTGTCAGTGGCGGGTGTAGTTTTGATTCTATTGGTTGGAATAAAGGACCTGATTTGTGTAAAACTTCGAACAGATGACCAGATAGTATCTATTTCAACTCACTTTTCTTTCATGTTGAAATTTTCTCTATGTTTTTAAATTTCTATCGCATCTCTGTATACTTACACTAAATCCTAGATGGTCGCAGATTATCTTTACCGGAGAGGACATGAAACCCATAAACACTTATCCAATTTGTCAAAGGTTACATGGATGTTATATATTCTTTCTAAGACGAATATGAGTATGAGTGTGCCATATTGGCAAGTTTTGTTGGTACAAGTCAAATGATACAACCGAATTTTGAAGGGTTTCAATTTGGTTTCACCAGCTTGGTGGTGTAGGTAAGTATTCACTTTGAGTTACTGTCAACTTCAATGTCAAATACACCTAATTATTTACTTTTCAATTAGTATACCATCGATACAGAGGAGAAGCGACATCATAATTTCGAATGTTTGAGAGCTTGTAAAATCTGTAAATTTATAAAAACGGTAAATATTTTCTAGAACCTAAAATATTTGCCTTCCTACAGCGAAACACTCATAGTGACATTATATAATTGGCAGTGGGCAAACATGCCAGATGTAGTATAATAGATAAGCTGTGACTAAATTCCCTTGTTTCTCTGTTAAAACATTATTGAACCGCCAAATCCAAACCCTTTATCAGAGATAATTTCAGCTTGTGTCCTTGTACCTGAATGCCCACAAATCTGATTGTTGCTATGGTTATTTGGTACAATCGATAATTGATGTGAAGGGCATAAAGTAAATATTAGTTGAAATTGCAATAAAGCAATCGATTTGAATTCATCCTGATGAAACAACTATGCATGAAAAAACTGAAAAGTTCAGCTAATGATTCATGAACAGAAAGTGTTTTATTTTAAATTCAATCTGTTTTGTATGAATTGTGTAACTCAACTCACTGTTTTGATTAGGGGTGAATTTATAAAAGGAAACGTTAGCAATGCAGGATATAAAACACAGATGACATTGAGAAGTTGAATATTGATATATAAATGGAGTAATCTCAGACACCACTTACTCACACCAGAACTGCAACGCTCTTCTCGACGTGGATTTCACCTTCCATGTTGGCGTCATCGGGCGATGAATTCTCACACTGGAATCTAATGCGAATGGTAAAGAATAGACCTAAGATTTGTCGCATCCTGAGAAGTTGAAAATATACCAACCGATATCTGTAAAATAGTTTCTTTCAAGTTAGCAAAAGTATGCATACATTTTGAAGTATATCTTACACTATTCAGTACCAAAATATTAGCTTTGCTAAAATGGCGTAGGCCTGATGGCTCGGAGATCTTAGACTCAATGTAAGGATTTGTGAAACTTCTGAAGAAATGACTAGTTCAAAATTATCTTGTTTTCATATTCCAGTTTCATTCATTGCAGTATGAAGCCTGGGCTCAGAAATGAATAATTATTCATGATCCAACACATGTTGTGACATGACATATGTTTCGTCAATGGTGCTGGGCTGAACCACGAATGCATTGTTGGACACAACTGTCTTCAGAAAATAAATCTTAGCATGGAAATATGTAATCGACAGAAAACTCAATCTTTTTTGTCTTTAGGGTCAATGAAATCGATTACTTTGTTTATTAGCCTCGTTTTGTCTATGGATGATAACTAGAATACTTGCGAGGAATATACCTGGTTTAGAACTTCAGAGTAACCTTTACTTTTCTATTCTTTTGCTCAACGGTAAGGTTCACTCAGAATATATACTACAGTGTAGTATATATTCTGAGTGAACGGTATGTAGGCCGTGGTCGACTGGAACCTGAAATAACAATCGTTTCATCTGCTACTGCGGCAGATATTATCAGTGGTATGTGCGTTAACTGAGATTTCGAAATATAACTTTCATCCTTGCAGTCAATACACATACCACTGATGATGTCCTCTGCCATAGTGGTCATCTACTACTACGGAGTTTGATACTTCGGGTTTCATTCGACCACAGCCTACTAGCCCAGATTTTGTTCTCTTCAATCGTGACTCCGGAGTATACTCGTATCTATTATCCTGGAGTTCAAAGTTAAAGAGATAGAGATGTATACTATTTCAAAAGATTACTTGGTTGAATACACCCTGTTTTTACGGTGCTAATGTGGACTTCGGGAAAAAATCCACAGAAAGTTTGCAATGCATTTATGATAATATGCATGAAAAAAAATGTATTCGAAATATTCTCCGACCTGTACCGAGCTTTCAATGTGCTGAATCCATACATTGTGAAAATGAGTTGTTCTTATTAGGGATCCACAGACCAGTAAATGGTTGATTTCTTTCATTTCTAGTTGATATAGATGATTTCAATTAATGACGAACTTTCAAATCATGAAGTGCTGAATCTGAAAGCTTCATAGGCGAGTTTTTTTGATCCACTTCTTTTCTTGAGGCGAATTTCAACCAAACGGACAAAATCACAACAAAACAACAACTGTGTCGAATTCGACAAAATAAAAACTTGAGTTGTAAAAATAAGAAGCATTTTGTAGACTCTGTATCGCGGCGACTGTTTTTGTCAACAACAAAATGTCCCGTCGGTGGACAGGAAGACAAAAAGGTTTCGGTGTTTTGTCTGTGTTTTTGTAAACAGAGTTTGTCATATGGAAATGGTTGGCGACTATTCAGATATAACATATCTGAATATCTAAATGGGGAAGTACAAAGTCAAAACCTTACTTTCTGAAAAATGTATCTCTCCTGAATTTAAACAATTTTAACAAGATTCCTCTGGCTGGGATTTATTCAAATCAGCAAAAGAATGTTATTCATATACTGTCATCGATCACATGGATGGATTCAACCCTTTCCGTGACAAAAAGTCGTACTTTTATGAACGAGTTGAGTGTTTTTTCTTATAATAATGTTATGTTATGTAAGACGCTTGTCTTATTGGCAAGCGGCTAAAAGTCGGATGTCTACCAGTGAGGATGATAGTGTTCCATGTAAGTGAAATTTCACTGGTTTTATTTATTATGTTGTGTAGTAATACTGTGAATGATATCTGATTCTATTCCATAAGGAATGTTTGGAATACATACTGAATAGAGAGAAGTGTTTTTTGTTTAATTCAGCGTTCGTATAAAAGTATTTGTTTCGAAAGTATTTTTTTTTGTGCAATTCAATGTTTATATGAAAATAGCTGTTCCGAGAGGGCGGCTTTTTCTTCTAGTTTGTGTCTGAAAGTTACTTCTTTGCATGATCTATATATCTTCATATATAGGGTTAATTTCCTTCAAATTGATTGCTTTGTTCCTCTCTTCGGAAGATTCCCACATTTTTTGTATCAAGATGGAGAACCCTCATTTTGAACATATGTATCTGTAATTTGTATTCTGTTTAAAAATTTTGGTCTCCGTTCCATTCATTCCTATGTCATCGTTTATCAAATTTCATCCGTTTCATGATCTATTCGTCTTCTCAACAATGATCTCATCTAGTATCTTGTATTTTTCTGCTTTCGCTTCTTTCGCTCGAAAGATTTGATTATAAAAAACCATTATAAAGTCAAGAGAAGGCATGATGAGAACTGTTTTTTTAGTGGAAAACATTTTGAAGACTTTGTGTCGCGGGTAACTGTTTTTGTCAACAACAAAATGTCTTGTCAGCAGAAGGAAAGGTTTCGGTGTACTGTCAGTGTTTTTGTAAACAGAGTTTGCACTGTTTGAAAATTTTTGGTCTCACTTCCATACATTCCTATGTTATCGTTTATTAAATCTGACATTATTTTATCCGTTCCATAATCTATTCGTCTTTTTAGCAATGATATCATCTAGTATCTTGTTTTTTTTGCTTTCACTTCTTCAGCTCGAAATATTTGATCAAAAAAACATTACAAAAACAGAGAAGGCATATTGAAAACTGTTCTTGTATTGGAAATGATAAAAAACATTTCACAAAAAAACATCCCATTCAGACTAATTTTTGTCTGTTTGGTGGAATTCGAGTTTGAAGTTTGTTTTCGGAGCTGAAACAAGTTTTTATTCTGATCACATAAACAGTATATGAGAAAACTGAATCATTCGTTCTTCACCATAAACAATCTCAAGTCCGCAGCTACCACAAGTGCATTACTACACTTCACTACACTCAGTAATAAATTGAAATATTATCACAGAGTATTCATTAATGAAAAAAAATTATACCATTTTGCAATCTGTATTCTGAAATTTGTAACTTACACTCACCCATACAGAATATCGGAGATGAACATAATAATTTGACATGCAATGACAACAAAATTTATTCCAGGAGTTTCACTCACACCAGATTTTAAAGGACTCCTGAATGGGCTGGTAGTTGTTTTTATATCTTATGATCTATAGCAAAATTCATATTTATAACCGTCTGCTTGATTATTGAATTTATTAAGCTACCAACCACTGAAACATTTTTTTGATAAAATTCGATTTTATCATTCAATAAATTTGTCTCGGAACGTGATACAAAGATTACGGCGGCCAAACAATTTCTCTACACCATTTTTGTAGTACAATTTATCTAGAGCCTAATTATCGGTGCTGAATTTATTTCCAGCGAGCATTCTCTTGAGGTCTGAGAACAGAAAAAAGTAGCTAGGGGGAAACGTTTTCTTTGCTTTGTGACACGGTGCCATTGTCTTGATGAAACAGCACTTTCTTTGTCTTCAAATGCGGCCGTTTTTCCACGGCTTCGTCCTTCAAACGGTCCAATAACGCTACATAATAGCTGTTGATGGTTTTCTCTTTTCAAGATAGTCGATGAATATTACTACATTCTAAAATACTGATGCCATAACCTTGTCAGCCGATAGTTGCGTCTTTGCACGCTTACAAGTCGGTTCACCACGTGCATTCCACTCAGATGACGATCGTTTCGATTCTGGTGTGAAATGATGAAGCCATGTTTCATCCATTGTCGCATATCGATGCATCAATTCGAGTAAACACACGAAAATCCTTTTTATCCATTTTTTCCAAACTAATAAAAGTTGCTTGTTCTGTCCCACAAAATGAAAGTGCAATAGCTGTAAAATTTGTACACGTCTCTTTTGAAGGTTAGGATTAACTGATAATCATATGGATTCAATACTGGTAGCGCCATCTGTGTGTTAGCCTACGAACATTATAGCACATCTTGTATTCATGTTGTAGCGCCTCTACAGAACACCTCCACTCCTTCACTTTTGCCGTCATTCAGTCAATCAATCAGAAGCTACCGCGCGTACAGCGGGTAATTTAAACCAGTAGATAAACAAAGAGACTTCTGGCTCAAAATCCTTTTTTTTTTCTTATGGAGCTAAACTTTTTGCAATTTTCATAACATTCGATCGGAACCTTGTGGACGCCCAACACGATGTAGGTGTGTTCCGGAGCGTGGGAGAGAGAAACGTATTACGTATTCGATGCAGAGAAGGATGGAATGAGTATCGGAGAGATTCAAAGAGTGTGGCCCTCCTTGGGACTCCGCCTCACTCCTCGGGCCCACTTGAGGCCCCGCCACACTTCTCGGGCTCCCTTGTCACGCACCAGTCACGTGGCCCTATTTAAAAAAAGTTTTATGATAGTTATTCACTGTACAACTTCACTTATTTGTATACCTATTCAAAATTATTTATGTTATGTGAAACCAGCTTATGTACAGCATATCAGGCATTGAATCAACCATTTATCATATTATCTAGGCAATATCTATGAATATTCAAATTTTCTACATTTTCCCTTGAATTTAATTGATCTGCTCAGTATAAACATCCTTTTTTGACGCTATTGATTGGATTTTTCAGTCAGCTGAAACCGGATCCCAATCACAAAAAACACAAAACCTCCATAAAGTGGAAGAATTTGAATCCGGAGTTCAATGAAGAGTTCGCCTTTGAAACAAGACCTACTGAGTTGACGACGCAGAGTCTTTACGTGACCGTATTCGACAAGGATTATGGAAAAAGTAACGATTACCTTGGAGGACTTATACTAGGAGGAACAGGATCTAAAGGTGCGAATGTTTTTGGTAATTTCCAACAAGAACTAACTAACGTTTCTAATGTTGTTTAAGGTCTCAGGCTGAAACATTGGATGGACATGATCAGATATCCGGATCATAGACACGAGCAGTGGCACAATTTAACCGAAGATATTCTGGAATAGTGTTGTTTTTGAAATGTTTTGTTTTGTATTTCTGATCTTTGTGTATGCTGGTGACTTCAGGCTTTTCTATAAACAACTCGAAACACATTGTTACTCAATGTATGGTCAAAAATTTGAAGTATTTTACAAACTTAATCTAGATATCGCAATTTCACACTCAATATACATTACAATTACATTACAAATTACAACTTACCCGTCGATAATTGCTATGATTTCATCTTGGAAAGAAAGTATACAACTATAACTTTGCAGAACATGAACACATCTAGTATTTTTCTGCCTTTGATTTTTGTGACCAATAATTTAAACATCTATGTTATGATGTGGAATCTTATTCTTCGTCATCAAAAGTAGCGTATGCATCTTATATCATGAATAAACTAATCGTTTCTGTGGAATTTTACAAATCAGAGGTTTTCAGGTTGGTACTTCAACAACGACTGGAACATTTCACGGCGTTAGTAATCGGAATATGAATTTTTCTTTGTGTGCTTTTTTATGTACTTTCAACAACTTGACATGATGAGAAAGGTGAGCACTTATATGATATTGCGAAGAAGTTTCGATCTAGATGTGTGAAATAATTGACAGTGTGTATGTATATTGAACATATACATTCTCAAGACACAGAGAAATTGTGATCAAATTTGTTTACTGAAATTCTATACAGTTGTATGTACGTATTGAGAAAAATAATTTTGTCACATTGTTCTCTACTAATTATCAAATTCTTGCAATTCAGCGAAGCATATGTATATTGAGAATCAGGAAAAGTGACCAGTTTTGATATTGTGTATTGTAAAATGTATTTTCAATAAAGAAGTTGTTTTTATATAAACGTATCATTTACCATCCTAACACCAAAGCAATTGTCAACTACAGACCTCTGAGCCTTCTTTGAATTTTACTGGAAAAACTATAATCAATAATGTACAAGCTATATTAAAATGAACAGAATAAGTTATCATGTTTGGAAAACCGAACTTGTGAATTCCACTGATATTCCGGAATGACAAATATTAAAATGGTATTTGACATTTTGATTTTGTGATATGAAGATATATCAATATTACCAGTAGAAGCCCTAACAGTAAGTAGGTTTTATTGAAACTGAAACTGAAACACATATTTACTTAAAAAGTTATTACATAGTCAGTTTTCGAATTTTGGGTTCATATCGTATGTTTTCATACTATCAAAGTTATGAATGCAAATGTTGAGAACTTTTTTCAGAACCATTTTTGATGAAAACAATTATTTTGTAGAAGTAAATGACCTGAATGAAATTATTCCTTCAATTTTTTCGACCACATCAGTGGTTACCAAGTTATTCGGAGGAAATTATTCATGCAGTTCTCAAAAAAAATCAATAATGACTTTCATAGACTTTCATAACAAATTTCGTAAATATATTGTGGTAGTTTCAGTAGTTTCTGACTCATTCGAGACATTTTTTTTTCAATTTCCTCTTCAAATGTTCCTCCTAGTATCATATTCATCGAAAAATGTTGTGTGAATCTCTTTGAGATAAACAAAATTGTTTTTTCGATGAGATATTTTGAAATATTTCAGAATTTATCGAAAAACATAGTGATTTCTTTAAAAACTTCCTTATCATAATAGTTTTCAAAAAACTGTTTTCAGTACTCATTGAAATGATGTGTATGAAACTGATATGATTTTTTTACATTTTGAAGATTTTCGATCGGAAAGTTTTTCGGAAAAGAACCAAAAAAATAATTTTTCATTCGAATGATGTACTGTACTTCATCATAAGTTCAACGAATAACAAAAATTTTGAATCGTTTCCTATGAAGGAGAATAGGGCAACACATTCTCATAAAGATAAAATTCACTAAATTCCAAGTTTATAGTCGGAGTTGATCAAAATTTGAGTTCAAAATCCCAATTTGAAAATAATCTGAAATTCAAATAGGAATTCAACGATAATTTTTGTAGAATTCTGACTCTGAAATCGGAAATTCATTGAAGATTGTCGCAAATACAGTTTATGATATGAATAATTCCATTAAATTTCAATATATCTTGATATTTCAACAAATCAGCATTTCGCTGACTGTATATTCCCTAATTCTCGACTTTTTGTAATAACACACGAGTTTGAGAAAAGCAAAAATATATTTAAAACTAAAATGTAAATATTGCACTGAGACGTAAAATCCACTTATGAAAATAAGAAAATAGAGTGAACAAAGTATAATATGATATACCTAATAATAATATTGCACTTAAATAAGAAAAGTATTACTGAATCCTTTTTACATATCACTAAGAATAATTCCAGAACCGAATACAAAATTAATGCCTACACCTAGATTTGACAATTTTACCAAAACTGACTAACCATTGGTAGTGAGCATTAATTTCATAGAAAGACGTAAAAAACTTTCCGTACCAAAAAATACCCCCCACACCCGAAATTATTCTACAGAAAAAAGAAAATATGGACTTTTCGTTAAGAGATTCTTTAAGGAACAAGTTTTCTGACCAATATGTACAATTAATTGCAACTGTACAATTCTTGAACTATTTATTATAATAATAAAATTTGAGATTTCATGTGTAACTCAACGACAAATGCCATCTCAAACCGAAATTCAACTTTAAATGATAATTCTATTTTTTGACTTTCTTTGCGAAAATTAAAACTCAAAGATACTTCAATAGATCCCACATTGAATATATGATTTATATGAGTAGCAAAGAAACGAAAGCACATTTGTTAAATTCCAAGATGTAAGAACATATGAACAGGAAAAAAATAGTCATGTTCGCATACTATTCTCAAAAATTGTTCATGGCAGATACCCCAAAGAATTCTCAATGCTATTACTACTGATATTATTCGAATTCATGTCGACCACGAATCTTGGATCCAGCTCAAAATAGTCTTTTCTGTCTTCGAACTTTCTTGCTTCACACGTGCTGGATCTTCTGGATTCATCCGACTGACTCTGAATGGTGTATAAACCATTTTTAGCACTGTACAAGTTTCCATTTTTCATTGAATTCAGACCATTTCGGATGGAACCGCTTTTTGTCGCATTGGTATTTCTACACGGTATATTGTGAATTTTCTGGTGGTGGATATAATGAGGAGTTGCCCTTGGCTCGGCCCGATTTGATGTCAATTTGGAACTCTTACTGTGCTTGTGCTGGGAATAACTTTTGTTATAGGAATTTCTGGAGGAAACCATACTCAGGTCAAGATTTGTTGGTGCCAATTGAGTTATATCTGTAGTTTGGCTGAGTTTGATGTCAGCGAATAAGGCTGCGATTTCTGCTGATTTCTTCACAGATAGCGCTTCGGTTGAGGCACCGGAGATTGCGGATGACTGCACCACCTTGGCAGCTGCAAAAAAAGGTATGGTTCTTCAGACAAGTGACAGAAAATTGCTCAAAGTAATCAGTTACCTTTCAATATCTGAAAACGTTTACTTTGATAACGGAATGAACACACCGTGTTTCTTTCAAGTTCAAAAATGGACACCTTGTTCAATGCATTTTGGAAAAAAAACATTTTTGGTATTTCACTCTCTTCTTCATGTATGAAAAATAGAAAAAACAAAATTAGGAATCCAAAAAACTTGATACAAAACATGAATGGTAAGTCTTTTATACTAATGAATATCCAATAGTTTCAGTGTTTTCTTTTAGTATCCAGGATTAGATGGAACTGGAGATAATAACTAATAACAATATTCAAAAATTCTGCTAAGTATTGTGAATTAGTTTTAGAAATAATTGAGTATCCTGGTGGGTTGGCTGTCCTTGTTCATCTTTCACTGCCTGAACTACTGTGCATGCTGTTTTTGACGAGTGCTTTGGTTTGGGATGTGTGGTTTGAGCAAAACGGCCATTAGATGCCTGCTTCCATGTAGCCCCGCTGGATACGGGAATGCCAGAATCACTTTCGGTTCTGTTATTTCCCAACTGAATGGCATCAAAACGATGGCTTAATCCTAAGGTGTGTGTATCCGTGACGAAAGGATGAATGACACTGAGCCTATCAGCTGTCTCTACGGAACCTTCGAGATACCGGGCGCCCTCTCGTCGTAGCATCGCCATGTCACGGTAATGCGGGGTTCTGCCGTGATTGACCCCTAGCTACTCGTGGGGCTTTTATGGACAGAGTAAACTTAAAAATTATTTCTGACGCTCAGTCTACAGAGGAGATGGATGTCGAGCTTACGACTCCAACTGACCTCCCTGTAAATTTAGATCAGGAGCGAGAGCTTCTCAACTCTCCAACTCCTGATCCAATAACTGAACCTGAAAAAAGGTTTAATGGTGCAGCCAGGAAACGACTGAGTCCTCCTCAAGAGCGGAGTACCTTATGAAACCGCCTTACACCAAATTCTTGAGCGGCGTACGCAGAATCTGTCTCAGGTGGAGGAACAAACCCTCCATGAGCAGGTTAACAAACTTTTGCGCTCAAGTGATGATTCACCAAAACCGAGGCGAAAAAGCCCTGTTCGGTTGAAACTAAGGCATCGTCAGTTGTAGTTGGCGTGCAAAAACCCTTATATGGGAAGGTTATCGCGGGTATCAAGGTGGAAATCTTGCACCTTGACTATTCGACTACCTCATTAACGATGTAACAGCAGAGCATACACTTTGTGCCTGTCCCGCTGGGGACCGAATCATGTTTTTAGAGTTCGGCAGAGCCGTACTCTTACCATCTGCTGCTGATCGGCTTCATTAAGAAGCTGGGTTTATTTGGTTGAGTATGAATAGGTTTGAGCCACAATTAACCCTTACGGGTTGCGGTGGAGGGTCGAATAGACCCACTCACTTTGGACCTAACCTAACCCCTCCTCATGTATGAAAAATAGGAAAAACAAAAATAGGAATCCAAAAAACTCTATACAAAACATGAATGATACGTCTTTTATACAAATTAATATTCAATAGTTTCAGTTTTTTCATTTAGTATCCAGGATTAGATTGAATTGGAGATTTATAATAATTAAAAACGATATTAAAAAATTCAGCCAAGTTTGAATATGACACAATTCCAAAACTCTTTCACCATAATCGATTTTCGATAATCACGTGCGGTTGAAAGAGGGCAACTTGGAAAATTGCAAACAACCCCGCTGATATTCAGGTCTGGAGGTCGAAAAAACATAAAAGGATTTTATGTTTCATTCATTTATGCTTTCAATACATCTCCATGGCACGGAGTTAACAGCAGGAGAGAATCCTCGTATATAGCTTTTAATATTAACAACAAAGCCGTGTAATAAAAATGAAACGTTTTATTTGGGAGGATTTACAAAAAGCTGCAAGGAATCTTTCAACTTGATGTTCAAAAGTGAATTCGAATTTCCTATTTAATTATATTCATCATGAAGTCCAAATAAAAAGGCATCAAAAGATGTTTTTGAATGATTTTTAACCGTGGTCTTCTGTCATCTTCCTAAATTGTGCCATCCTCAATAGTATGTTAACAAAATGTTGATAATACAAAATTTTAAGTGAATCCAATAACGACAAAGACATAACATTTGTGTCAATAAATATAAGCGTAATGTTTTTTTGAGATTATTTCCTTCATAGCGATAAAATGATGAAAAAATTGGATGCCAGATTACTGAAACAGAGTTTTACAACGAATATTGCTTCACACCAATAAAATGATGGGAGGCCAGGCCATCAAGAGATCAAATTTAATGTAGACCAGATTAAACTATACATCCCTAGCACTATCTTCTACAAAATTTAATAAACATCAAAAAAACTTAAAGGAGACCACATAAATGACTAAGTTGAATTGTTCTATTATTGTTTACATTTTTAATTTCATATGTATACCGATTTTACTGAATGTTCACCAAATTTAGAACGCTAAAGCTATGCGTCCTTGTTGCATATAATAAATATTCGCGCTATCCATTTATATGTAGTCTTTCTCATAAAAACTAATTGTGCCTCGAATAATTCATTCTGTTATAGTCGAAGTAAACGATATTGTGCACATTTAAAGTTGGCAGCACTCTCAAAAACCAAAAAACGATACATATAAATGAACTGGCAGCGAACTAGTCCACGTGGACTGTAGACTTGACAGTTCGTATTGGATAATTTTTACTAACCGAGTTTTATGATTGGCTGAAGCACCATAAAATTAAATTTAAAGTCATGTTACGGTGACGAATAGAAAGAAATCGGGGAATGCGGGAATGGTTATCACCGTCGTTTTCAGTTCAGAAACTGATCGCGATTTGAGTGTTAAAATTCGATATTGGTGCAGTTATAATTACTTGAAATTTTTGTTATCTGTATAAAATATGGGGAAACAAACTATTACAAGCAACATCAGATTTGAACGAAATTTCTTTCTCAACTGTACGTAAAATAGTCAACAAGAAACCTTATGAACGCAAGACGCGATGTGGTATAGGATTACCGAAACCTTCAGATATTCATCTAATGAAAGCAATAAACGATCAGTAAACAATATACGATTGTTACAAAAGCAATGAGATTTCAATATCTGAATTCATAAGGAAGAAATTGAATACTTTCGACCATAAGGTGAGCTGCTATGAGAAAACAATTCAGAATTTAGTAAATAAATGAGGATTTAGATTTAAAATAATAAACAAACGTCAAACAGTTATGGAAAGCAGAAGAATAGTGGAATGGCTTAACAAATACTTAGAACAAATAACTAAATATGGACAAGAACAACGGCAAATTTTCTATTTGGACGAAACTCTGTATGACAGTCACGACACAGTTACGAAAGGATGGACTGATGGTTCGAAAATGTATACGCCTAACATGCCTGCAAACAAAGGATCGCGACTAATCATTGTGCATTGCGGATGAGTTCCGGATTATTTGAAATTATGTGGAAAAAAACTTGATCATCTTCGAGAGGAAGTTTAATCACTTGGTGATCGAAACACGTGTTGAGGTATTAAAATAGTGGTTTGGTGTTGGGAAAAATCTCCAGTAATATTCATTGTTATTATTGTTATTATTTGTAGGTACACTTCGTGAGCGCCATCCGCTTGCTCAATACTTAATCATTGCTTCAGAAATGGTGAAGGATTGGTCAAATGAGTACACTTTAAACAGTGAGGGAGTTCAGCCACGTGCCAACTATTTCTTCGAAAATGTGGACAGACTGTTTCAAATAATATCGTTATAAATACTAGTGAAATGAACAAGTGTTATAGAATTCCAGGTGGAATTCTATAACACTGGAATGCGAATCTTTTGAAGATATGTGTTAGACGTTTCAAGGCTACAAAAAAAACATTTTAGGGAGCGAGAAGTACAATTAGCACAGGACAAATCTGACTGAATGGCACATCCATTTGTCTAGTTCATCTTAGAAATAACGTTTCTAAACATTTAGTAGGGTTAGCAATTCGCCTGAAATTTGTTGAAGCACCTACTGAAGCAAGGAATGTATCAATTGAAGAAAAACAAAGAAGAAGATGGCCTACTAAAGCCAATAAAGATTCCAATAGAAGATAATCTTATAACAAGATAGAACTGAGAAATATCACCGTTAGAGTCTCAATATAAACACATATTGATTGAATGACATATTGCATTTCTTGTCAGAAAAGATTTTTCCACATTGTATTATGTTCAGAATTTCAAGAAAAATATCTTGTTGAATAAGTCTTTGGGTACAATATCAACACTCCAGAATATTATTTATACTTTTTTAGTCTTTCTAATTCAACATTCTGACACATCAAATACAGTTCTATTGGAAAATTTAATCCCTTCAATATATCGCGGAGGTTCATTTCTATTAATTGTTATTATCTACTGTCGACGGTCACAAAACATAAAGTGAAGCTTTTCTGTTCAGAGAAGCTCTATCCTAATTTGATATCGATTCTTTACTTTGTGCCCTTATTCTTATCTGTGAAAGGAAGTACATACTATGAAACCAATATAAGGGAAGCCCTTTAATAAAGGGGATTTTCCAAGGCTTCGGCCGAAGATCTAACTGTGTGTCATGTCATTCTTGCATTGATCTTTGTGAACATTGTGAACAATATTGTAGACACTAGAGTGAGGAAGATTTGAGCATACTTTTGTTCTGTGTACATTTTTTTAATCCAAAGATATTTGATATAAATATAAACCAGTGACATCACGTTCTATTCTGTATCAGGACAAGTGAATAAAAATCATCCTTCATGTTTGTATTCACTCTTTGAAAGTGTGCTCTGTTGGACTGCCAGTGATTAGCAACACAATGCTGATGTTCGATATTGCCAATAGAGTGGGATGAAAAATATTTGAAAAAACCTACCTGCTCTACTTAGAATGGGTACAAGGAAAAGGATATCCAATTCATCAACTAGAAAGGAGGTAGATATCATATCGTTTGATGTCATGGACATTTAATAAAGAATGAATCATCTACAGCAACATCAACCAAGATCATTGTGGTATTCCAACAACTCGAATTTTTCTTAGCCTGGTTCATAGAGAGAAGCCAGATATCACACAGTATCTGCAGCACAGTATCTGAACACCATTGTCAAGGATCACCTTTTGTTTGTAAAGTACGACGGCCGAAGAAATAACTCACTCTCCCAATATCCAGACTATCTCCACATTTTCCGTTGATAAAGAATCAATACTTTGAGATGAGTATTAACAGCAATACTGTTTGCCACCAGTTTTGGTAACCTGGACCAAGGAAGGCGGCCTCAACACAAAACCATCCGAAGACCAAAATAGATGAATTGGAACCTCTGAAATTCCTGGGTGAAAAGAAATACATTTCGGTGAAGACTAAATATCTGGTGAATTTCATATTTCAAATGGAAAGATGCATTGCTACTTTGTTCACACAGCATGCAAAGATTTACTTCTCTGGGAAAAAGTTGCAATAACGATTACACCAACAGCAGCAAATACTTTCGAATCTACATCTCCTACATCTCGCAATCTTCAGTAGTTGAACATTGGGCAAATGATGAGAAAAGATAATCAAATAGGTTCTCGAATCATATCACACCGAAGTACACTTGCGATGTAAACTTCACGATATAAACTGATGAACAGTTATTTTAAAACCTACATGTCAGAAACATGTTGAACCAACGAACATGGGACAGGAGCTGGATGTTTCGAAATGAATATTACAGCTATCTACTCAGTCAATCTCCCTGAATAGTAATTTGAGACCTTAATGAAATGGGCGGATCAATATGAGCCAGGCTGCACTCGGGTTATTGATGAATACAAGAGATACATCGAAGACTGGTCTGGAAATATCTTGAAGAACTGAACTGGCTCACAAGATTAATTGACTCTATACCACAGGCAATATTACAGGCAATGAAAAGTCTGATAACTGTGCGAAATAATAATCATTAATATGACCTTGTGATGCACTATTTGGAACCTTTGGTGTAGAAATGAATATTACTGGAGTTTTTTCCCAACACCAAACCGTTATTTCAACACCTCGACACGTGTTTCGATCACCGAATGATCATCTTCAAGAGGAATATCAAACTAATCATACTTACAAACCTATTTCTATTTATACCATCGATATCTGTTTCAGGTACCTGCGTCTTGAGTGTCTAAAATGAATTTTACAATTTGCCTTATCTTGAATTAATTTTACAATTTGCCTTATCTACTATGAGGCAAATCGTAAAATTAAGAAATTGTTAATTCCTGTTGATGTTAGAATGTTGATCAAAACTACCTCCCAAATGGTGACCTGTTCGGTCTGACAGAATGTTCTCTCGAATAAATTGAAAGGGATATGATTTTCGGAGGGACTGATTTTCGAAAAAGAAAGGTGTTGGCTTTCTATCGACTTGTTTCCGCCTCGCGTTTCACATTAGAAAGCAAGGTAAGAGGGGCAAGTGTGTGGTATAGTTTGAAAAGATTTACTTCAAATAGACCTAAAAAATCTATTGAAAACACTTTGTGTCTAGTGTCTCTCCCTGATTTTTCCACTAACCAAGTTAGCAGCACCAGAAGATGTAAGTACTTACATCATTTCACGCCAGATGTTTCAAATGAATCTCATTGAGGTTCTGTTCTTGATATATTTGAATTCCCTATTGTCTTTCTCTCACCTAAAAATCATAAGTGTTACAATCAGAAAGGTTTTCTGGTGTGATTAACATCCTTGTCCCGTCAAAACGAGGTAAGTGTGTAACAGTCTAGAAAATTGCTTGAATTTGTGATCTTTTCACCGAACTTTATCAGCTTATTGATAAGGCATCATGTGACTTTGCAATCTCTCATAGAGACTACTAGTTGTTTTGGAGCTCTCTGGCGGATGAGTGAAAGCTCACTAGACTTCATTCAATCTCCAAGTTATGTACTAGTAGGTCAGGGTTGAATGGAAACTTGGCCCACCAGCCTGAATTTTGTTCTCTTTAATTGATACTTCATTCATTTTTTTTAATGATCAAAATTTATGACCATCTTAAGCACTAACTCCATAGTAGGAATACATAATATATCAAAACCTTCAATGAATTCTTTAAGTATATAAATGTTTTACCAACTTTGTCTTTTGCTTCTTATCGATCCATATTCCTTTACAGATGCCGGTCTACACGGTCCGAAACCAGAACCATTCTCGAAGGATCCTTTTGAGTAGAGGGGCCGACTGTGAAAACCTTGCACATGGCTACCGTTCACAACAGAGAGATGTTCATAGTCCACAACACCACAATTTCTACCCAAAATCGGCATTGAAGTCTGGGTCCCGAATTTACTCCTCTTCAACTTCTCATAGTAAGTTTCATGTGGGTTGAGTATATACTCTAGACTCTTACTACTCTTCGAATTCGAGCTCTTTCTACACACTTTCTTGTGTCGGTGGTGGTTGTCCTGAATTTTTCCACGCTGTATCAGATGCTTTGCTAGGGAAGAGTTGTTATTTCCTGACGGGCAATAGCATTTGTTGCTTTCCGCACAAGAATCAGTATCACAGTCACAAAACAACACTACATTCGTCTGATTACAGGAACACATTGAGTCATTTCGACAAGTGGATTCCGAGCATTTTGAATTCTTGGCGAAGCTTCTCTGACCCAAGGAACAATAGCATTTATCTGCAGACCTACAAGTACAAGTATCCGAGTCGTATGAGCACTCAGAGCACGAGACATATCCGGACGAAGAGTTTCTATTCTGTACGTGTAGTAATTGAAATCCCTGAGCTTTGCTTTTCTTCAAAGAAAAGAAATCACTCTCTTCGCTGGTACTAACTCTGTCCTTTCGACGTCTACTGGAATCAGCACTTTTTTTTCTATAGCTTTGCTTCCTCATGACGTTTTGATCGTCCTTGGGCCTAAACTGCCTGGTGTCGTACGAGGAAGTTGAAATTGAACTCTCTGGAAGTTTAGAATCTATTTGTAGTGGAACGGTGGCGTATTTCTTAGGGGAAACTTGTTTCAAATTCCTACCGAGTCTCATCTTTAAATTTTTTTGAAAAATGTGTTTCAGCCTACGAAATTTTCCTCCCACCAATATATGATGTTTCTGATGAGGCGATTTTCTTAGGAGCTTTTTCTTCTGCCTTCTCATTATACTTTTCGATCGTTGATATAACTCGTCTTTTGTGAGGGTCAGTGATAGCTTCAATAGGAATTCCTTATAAATGGGTTTGAGATCGTTGAAAGACATTCCCTCCGGGTCTATTATTACACTGAGAATGTCATCTAGTGAATGTAGACCCTCTTGCAAAGATAGCTCATTGAAGATTTCTTTAAATCCTAAAGGAGAACCGCCACTGCCTTGGTCATTACTCCTGAAATAAAAAAACAGTTGAAAATTGACGAAGTGAATTGCAAATTGTAAAGAGAACAATTCTGTATCCAAAATTATTGATGACAATTGTTTGGAGAATGGAAGTTATTGTTAATGAATAGAAAAAATCCAAAGTGAGGATAATATATACACAAACTCTCACAAAAGTTATACATACTTTTGACTAATTTGAGATTTTCCTGTTTCAGAAAATCATACCTTATGTCTATCTATCTATCTATCAGGTGTCTTTCATATTTATTATTTTTTGAGCTTCTAGTAACAGATTTCAATACATATTTCAATTGAGCAAGATCCAGTAAAAATGTTACTCAAATACACTATTTATTGCTTCTGTAATGTAGTGAGTGATTGGTGAGTTGTTTCAACAGAAATACACTAGTAGAAATTTAATTGTTACTCCAAGTTCATAAGTTGAATAATATTAATGTATTACTAGTTTTACACAAAGTCAGACTGTCCCTATGGACATGTCGAAGGATTTGTGGTAAAACTTGGGGTTTAGGTCCCAAACAAATCCATTGGATTTATGTGATGATTGTCAGACCAATGATAACATATGGTGCAATTGCCTGGTGGCCGAAGGCTTTACAGAAAACGGCCCAGGCAAAGCTCTCTGGCTTACAGAGACAGGCTAGTCTGGCAATCAGTGGTGCTATCAGTACTACACCGTGCAGAGTGCAACAGACTGTTGGTTGACACTGGATGCCACAGCATTATGGAAGTGACCTATGACTTTATGTTTTCAACTGTTAACTACGAATTGCCTTATAAAGTATTGTTCCCGAGTAGAGGGGACTGGATCCTCCTGGGAGAAGGAAATATTAGGAGCAGATAGTTGTTGGTTCACAGATGTATCAAAAACACCTTCCTGTTCTGGCGCGGGTGTTTTCAGTCGCAGACCCAGGACAGAGATATCAACCTGCCTAGGAACCTATGCGACTGTATTTCAAGCGAAAATTTACGCTACTGAATAGTGTGTGGAGAGATTGGAAGAATTCAACCTCATACACAAGTCAATAAAAATATTCTCGGACAGTTAACAGATTGTCTCTGGTCTGGATTCCTGGCCATACTGACCTGGAAAGCAATGAGGCTGCTGACTGCCTTGCAAAGGGGGGTATTGCAAGCAGCTGACGAGAACCTGTTATTGGCATTGCTTTAGGCTTTGCCAAACAAAGATTGAACACATGAATGGCAAGAGATTTATGGACTTCTGGCAAAATCCACCAGGATTGGCTCACTTCAAGGCGTTTATTCACCCTTTGAAGCTTGATGCTAAACAGTTGTTGGACATCAGTAGGGATGAATCAAAATCTCTAACAGGCCTTCTTACAGGTCACTGTTATTTGAATCATCATATGCAGAGACTCGAACTGTTGGAAGACAGTCTGTGTCGCCTCTGTTTGGAAAATGATGAAACAGCCAAGCATATACTTTGTTCCTGCCCCGCTGGGGACCGAATCAGGTTTTTAGAGCTCGACAGAGCCATACTACTACCATCTGACCTGAAAGACCACTCACCATACAAATTAATCGGTTCCGTTAAAAAGTTGGGTTTATTGCGTGGCGTACATTGAATGTTTCTTGAAGGTGAAAAAAATTGTGAAATAATGACTTACCTGGATATCTTACTTTTATATCTGGTCAAACCACCAGCATTCAAGAAGCTGCCAGATCTTGGAATGGTTACTTTTGTGAGAATGTCACCAGAGTTTTCTTTTTTCATAGGAGTTTCTTCATTTTTGCGAACGCTTTGAACTTTCTTCAAACATTTCGTTCCACCATCACTCATCATCTGTTTTATTTCCGCCGTTAACTGTTTTTGTTCTTGGCTCATACTGTTCAATTTATCTGCGATAAAAAATAATTTGAAACGTACTTATATAATCAACTTCATTGAATTTTACCTGTGAACGATTTTGGTTTGATTTCTTCAACTACTCTATTGTCGTGTTTCTCACCTTCATTTTTGATTTCATTAATTTGATTAGGACTAATAGGTTCTTCGTATGGCAGAATAGCGTCCAAATCCTCAGAGTTTGAGTCTGGAGCTTTTGGTGCTCTTTTCGTTTTGCTGCTTTTTTTGGGGGGCCTGTTATCTAATAGTGGTTTCGTGTCTGATATCTAAAAGTAATAATTTGTTAGAATTGGGTCGAAAAATATTTTAGTTGTGAATCCGTCAATCCGTTTCAAAATAAACCAATTATATACTTTTCTTGAATCTCATTTTCTGTTCTTTGTTGGGCCCTCAGTGTTTCATTCATATAAGACAATGTCATTTAGAAAAAGCAGTGACCTACCGTTAAATGTTAAAATTTCAGCGTACTTTCCTGAAATGAGAATCGCGAGAACCAGTAAAATTGGTTGTTCCGAAATGTCTGATGTTTCTGGGATCTTAGACTGCAAGCTTCGAAAACAACCACCGCAGTCTAGGCCTGTTATCTAATAGTGGTTTCGTGTCTGATATCTAAAAGTAATAATTTGTTAGAATTGGAGCTATAAGTTGAATATAATAAAATATCTTCACTTTTCTGGGATCTCACAGTTCACGTGGAATACGGACGATATTTCATTTGACGATAGATATTGATCGTTTGAATAGTGTTCATAAATCATGAATGTATTGAGGAGTCATAAGTATGTCATGAGCTACTAAAGAATTATCCTTATTTTAAGTTTTTAACGGGACCAAACATCAGGAGGAGGAGATATCATGTTCAGTATTTCATCACAAAAAAAAATCTTGCAACGTCACTTCTTCACAAAAAAGCGGAGACAACTTTTTCTCCTCAAAAGTAAAAGAGGTGGTCTTGTGATGTTAGGGTTGAAAAATATTTTAGATGTGAATCCGTCAATCCGTTTCAAAATAAACCAATGATATACTTTTCTTGAATCTCATTTTCTGTTCTTTGTTGGGCTCTCAGTGTTTCATTCATATAAGACAATGTCATTTAGAAAAAGCAGTGACCTATCGTTAAAATGTTAAAATTTCAGCGTACTTTCCTGAAGTGAGAATCGCGAGAACCAGTAAAATTGGTTGTTCCGAAATGTCTGATGTTTCTGGGATCTTAGACTGCAAGCTTCGAAAACAACCACCGCAGTCTAAAAGCGTTGCATCCATGATTTGATACCGTCAGACAACATTGCTTCGATTCGACCATGAAAGTGATCAATGGTGATGGGCCTAGTCAAGAATGCAATGTTTTGAACTTTTCTATCCTAGGTAGGACAAACCTGAGTAAGGAGTCTTCGATGTTCGAGGTTTGAGTTTTCTGACGATCCCATAGATGGTGACTTCATGAAGGAAATCGTCATGTCCACTCCCTACTCAAGATTTTCCCAATAAGTACAGAAGATGAGACTATTTCATTGATGAATGTGAATACACAAAAAAAAATTGAATTATAGTCTGTCATTCTGGATAACTACGTAATCATACACCTACCGGACTGAGTCATGGCCGGTGGGAGAAATCGTATCTGCTTAAAGATTGGGTCGGTGTATGACAAAGAAAGTATTAGAAAAAAAGGAATCGAAACTTTTCTTTTCAATTTCACATAGTATGGACGTTCACAGCTCGAATAACCTAACAAACTGATAACAGATTTCTACACATCTACTGCACATCTTAAGGAGAAGCTTCTCACCGGCCATGATTCAGTCCGGCAGCTGTACAAATATTTTCAGAAGGAAATTTGGACAGAACTCAATATCTGGATATGTCGCAGATTAGTATGTGGTCTATGATGGATGAAGAGTGAAGACAAATCCAAATGAAGTTTCAACTGAATGAATATTGCCTTCTTATACTCCTCAGGCTCGAGAGTGGCTGACAAATCAAACCGGTGGATAAGAAGATGTGATCCCCATAAGAGCCCATTCCTATTTGATCTGCTAAGTGTTATCAACGCGTCCTAGCAGCAAGATGAGTGCATTAGCACCTATGTTGCCCAGTGAAAATAGGCTCAAAATTAACCTCTAATCAAAGAGTATGAATTGTTAAAGTCAGAAATTACTGTACCAAAACTATTTTCCAGGTTTATGGGCCATGATCTACAAGTTTCTATGTTCGGAGTTGCGTCCTCACAGCAGATACTACATAATTGTAATGATGGAAGTGGCCTATACTTGATGAATATCCATAACTGAAAATACGTTACTACATGATTGGTTTAGGTTTTTGCTTTCATCTCATTGGAGGTGGGTGAGACCTCGACCCTAAAATGTAATTACCAGATAGGTATGCAATTAATTGCAGGTAGCTAGATTTTATCGATGTTGACTACCTTTTTCATTCTGCTGAAAGAATCGGTATACTTCTGGTGTGGCTAAAGGTGCTTTGAGGTGATTAGCTGACTTTAGACTCTTTCTGATGTGTGATCCTTATCTCAAATGGTTTGCGTTGGTTAAAACATCGATTACGTGAAATCATAAATGTATATTACGTAACCGAAGTACACTGCAGTGGCGATGGATAGAACCAGGAATATTTGGGTAAAAAATCTCAGAAATACTCCATGATATTGAATATAACAAAACCATAAAGAGAATGGTGATTCTGTATCTGTATTAGGTAGGGTGAGTGTAAGTGTAGGCCCATAGCACTTAGGCCACATGTGACCCATTGTACATCCTCCCGAAGAGTTGTCCTCCTAGGTTCATCCTGTTCTTCCCAGGAAGGAGGACAGGTCATTAGGCAGGTCTAGGTCAAGACTCGCCGAACACACACTCTCCTATTGACGATCACTCCGGACACTCGCATAGGACATACCTGACAGCTTCATCTTCCTGTTCACACATCCTGCATAGAGGTTTGTCAACTCGCCCCATATTATGGATGTGTTTCCTTAGTTGACAGTGATCAGTCAGTGATCAGAAATCCTTCTGATAAGTGTAGGTTTTTCCTGGTTATCGCCAGAAATTTCTTCAGTGCCAGCTTCTTAGGGTCGCCCAGGATGATCCTGGCAAGACTGCATCCTTTGATTCCATCCCATCTTTTAAATGATTGAGCATGAGTGTGTCGCTAGTATTTTTTCCCATTCCATTCTCAATCCTTAGGTTTTGTGATCTGGAGTAAACTTCACATCCTGAGCCTTCTTTGGTTTTTGAGACGTCTGTATATAGGCGTATTGCATTTGTAGCATCTGACTCTGTGTTCTGTTTCATTTGTATTTTGCAAGGTTTATTAAATACAAACCTGGATTCAATTACATCACTGGCTGCCTGCAGTAGAGGCTGCGCAGTAAGCGATTCTCGCCATAGGCTCAGCCTGCAACGTTAATTCCTCTCAGATGGAAATAAAGTGCAGCTCCGGCAGCTGTTCGTCTTGGTGAGCAAAAATCAAGTTCGAAGGCATTTGAGTGTACATCTGACTGAGAACGGTACAAAATTATGTAATGGGACCACCTGACTAAATGCAATAATCAGAGTTCAAAGTTTGCCCTACCAGGGTGACAAACTTCACTTACGAAATCTTAAAATAAGAGAGAACGGAAATAAGTATTCACAATAGAAAACTGGCAACTGAAATACTTACAAAAAAAGGGAGCAGGTAGTACACAAAAACCTACCAAGAGACGTTTCAATCATCCTATATGATTCAACTTCAAGAGGAATATCTTATGGGGAAGTGTTCAAATTGACAAATGAAACTTATCGGTTCAGAACGCCATTTATTGAAGGCTCGTGAATTTTCCAAAACACATTCGCATCCACTCTTCATGAACTCGCCTTAAACTCTGATCTAGTGGTCATCTACGTACTATTCGCATTTGCGCAGATAGCGGCGGGACGAATATCAGGGTGCCATCTCTGGGAGATAGAGTTGGCATATGGACTTTTGACATTTGAATATGAAAAGATCCGACTCAAAAAATAATATGACCAGAGGCGTAATCACCAGCGATGACCAGAATAAGGAAAAGAGGAATTGATATATATAGACAAGAGAAGCCATTTCAAATCAAAATATACTGAGGTATTAACAGCTGATTTTGTTTAACTAATTCGATTTCTGTCAATCACTGATTGACACCATTATCTTTGAATTGTTATCATAAATAAAAAACAAAATTCTGACTGAATTTTCAACTGGAATATTTTTCGTGAATAAAAATTAAACTAAAGATTTTGATTCATTATTTATAATAGAAAGATTTATTGAAAATCACGTTAAATAGGCAATCAACATTGCATTCAAAAATTTTATCGTTACTCTGGACTGTGTTTGAACATTTCTGAGCGCTACCCATTCTTAAAAAGTTGAACATTAATTTCGCTCAAGTAATCTTTAAAATGTTAAAATAGTAGCATTTTTGAATGCTACAAGCCTCAATTGATCTATTTCTACTTCGAGGTATTACACCAGACAGAAAAAAACTGAAGTAGGTTTTGGTTTGAACTTCTAATAAAATCATGATATTTATTGAATTTTCAATAGTCCTGAAAACGAACCATTACTGTTAATAACTTTCAGCTTTCAGTCCGATTCTCAAAAATTGCACTTGACAAACAAAAAAAATATTGCAAACAAAGATACCACAAGGCTACCTCTTCCACTGGTGAAAGAAATTGGTACCGCCCTTTTCGCAACCAGTGCCATTGCCATAGATAGCTTTCATTTAAAAAAAACTTCCTTGTCAAATCGTATTTAGTTGATGGATAAAGACGCAATATATTGTAACTATTTGTAGATAAAACTATAAAAATACTGACAAAACTATATAAACATGTTATTACATACACTAATCGCATCGTTTCCACTGATGACTGAAGAGGTAGAACTCCGTTTTTTCCTTGGCGGCCTGACGGGTATGGAGTTGCTTTGTTTGTCTTTATTTAAACTAGATGCCACCGACATGCAAGTAGTGACTCCGTTTTTGTTCCTGGGCCTCCTTTCTTTCGCTTTCATGTGGGCAACAAGTGATTTGTACAATGTTGCGGCTATAACTATGGCATCTTCGGACGTTTGACAAACAAAGCTGAAATATAAAAAGTATTTTTCATTATTCGATTCGCTATTGAATCAGTTTGAATAAATCCAGTAAAACCATTTTGCGAACGATTAACTGCTAATATATTCATGGACATTAAACTGTTAATACCTATGTTGATATTTTAATTGCTATTTATAGTTTATAGTAGTCTGTTCAGAAAACTTTTTTGCGAAAGCTAAATTGGGTATCCTGCTAATAGGTTATTCCTATCAGCAGGGAGATTAAACAGGTCAATCTTTCTCTTGAAAATGACCACTTGGTGATTAAAACACGTGTCGAGGTGATGAAATGACGGATTGGTGTTGGGAATAAAATCCAGTTGTATTCAAACTAACTTGAGTTTCACACCAATAGGTGATTCCACTTATGTCTCGCTTGCCTCAACGCAAATATTTTTCATCAAGTACTTTTCTTGCTTGTTCCGATTTTGTCTTTATTCGAGTATCGCCTGCCCGGTACTGATGATGCCCAATAAACTGAAATAACCGTCTACCGGTGACCCTCAAATTGAAATCAAATTGAGAATGATCTGAATAGTACTATTTATATATAACTATATATTTATTCATACTTCAATCGATAATTCATTTGAAAAAACATTCCTCTGAAAAAAAAACAAAGAACATTTATAGGTTGTTTCATTTTGATTTATTTGAATAGGTATCTTTTTGCCAACTTTCAGTCTTCAGGAGGATTCAGATCATCATTTTTATGTTGTTGAACTTGCATGAACATTTTTCGAAAGTTCATTTTGCTGTATCCTTCGTCGGGGGTGATGAACTGAGTTGTATAGTGTTTTTAGAGATATCCCAAATTACCAATTCAATCCTGAATGATGAATCTAGCAGGTAGTTACCCAACAGGGTATATTCCTGTATAATCCTGCAGGTGAATATAATGCGTCTTCTTTTTCTTTGCAATTATTCACTTCAATCCATATTGATTATCTGTCTGCTATTTTCATCATCCAGGATGAAATGTTCAACTCTTCCCTGAAAACATTTCATGCTCTTGATCTTCAAAGCTAATGCTATGGAACGTCCATATCACAGTTTATTATGTAAAAGGGAGGTTTTGCTATCTGTAGCATCCTATTTCTCTATCTTTATACAAAAAAAATGTGTGAATCTTCCGAAGAAAGGAAGAGAGTAATCAATTTCAAAATCAACAATTTACAAAGATGTCTAAATCATGCAAAGAAGTAACTTTCAGTCACAAACTGGAAGAAAAAGCCCTTCGAAATAACTACTTTCCTATAAACATTTGATAAAACGGAAGAAAAATTATTTCGATACGACATTGGATTATACAAAAAAACACTTTTTTCTAATCAGTTTGTAAACATTCGTTATTAAATTGAATTAGATATCTTTCACAGGACTGCTACACGATATAATATATGAAAGAGGTTAAATTTCACATACAAAGATGACAGTGTTCCATGTAGACAAACATTTCGGGCAAGGGTGGGTAATTTCTGAATTTTGGAGAGGGGTGACTCTCAGGGGGAATAACACTCAAAACAAACACTGTTCCCAAACACCAGAAATGCAACACACTTCTCGACGCTTGTTTCACCAATCAAGTTGGCATCTACATTCCTAACTCTAAAACTGGACTCGATTTATATATGATACGACACAGTTCCACTTTCATGAAATCATACATAATTTTGGGGATGTTGAAGTTCAGTATTATTACAAGTTTCTTAATACCAAAATCTATTGAATATTGAATTGAATTGAATTGAAGAAGTAATCTAAGATTAGATACAACTAACAGAGCTCCACAAAAAACAGAATTGCTTTCAGTTCAACAACTGTTTCTACAGACAGTATAAAGTATGGCATTGGAAAACTCAATGTACTTCTCCATAGGCTTGTTACGTTTCCTTTGAGTTAATAAAGGTACGATATTGAAAAAACTTATATTCTGAATCATAGCTGAAAGCAACGGTACCCTTCAAATATAGTAGATAAGTTAATTAGAAAACGTGAATTGAAAGAGAATCTTTGACTCTTTGAAAAGACAGTAATTCAAAGTCATCGTCCTTCCGTATGAACCAAGATACACTATTAGATCACACGGATTAGATCGTATTTTCAAAAAGTTGAAGGTTCAAAACTATTTTCTCACTCCTACGAATGTTGGGTAACCCTAACGACAAAGGTTGAAAAATGAAAAGTCAGGGTTGTAATGAAATGAACTGTGAGGATTCTTGGATACTTTTGAAAGTCTGAAAATAGGAAAGAATTGCAGGAGAACTATGAACAGTCACAAAAGGCCCATTCGAACTGGTCCATTGTTTAGTGTGAAAAAGTCCCACAAATGTTTGCCCGAAATCTTCGACGTGTGTCTGAGAGTAGAAGTGTACCCTGTTAGACATGAATAGAAACCAGTTTCAGAATTAAAAATTAGTGTAATTCATCTATATAATTCACCGAAGGCACCAATTTGATTGGTGAAACTAGCATCGAAAAGAGTGATGCAGTTCCGATGTTTGGGAATAGTGCTCATTTTGGATTAATTCTACACTAGATGTTCCAGTTCTACCATTCATTTCAGTATCGAATACTGATGTCTGGGGAAGTATTTTTCTCCATTGATCCCCATAATCCAATCTTGCGATAATTGAGTATTTCATATGTAGACTAGAACTGCAAAAAATTCTCATCCAACTCATACTTACTCGATTCTTCCTTAAAAAGTGAAGTATTTTCTCAGTAATAAATTGAAAATGAGAATAAAGTTAGAAAATGACTTGCTATATAGGAAAGAAATGAACTTCAGTCAGAGCATCTTTCAATTCTTTCCAATCATATTCTGGCTATTAGTCAAAATGTCATGTAACGTCAAATGTCTTCATTAAGTGACTGATTTCCTGATATTAACCAACAATTAAAGGGTTCTGTAATGTATCACTGAGTCAATAAGATGAAAACTGGTCTTCCAACTTCACAGCTTCCAACTCTGAGATAAGTATAAGTATGAGTATGGTATAAGTCTCGCTAAAAACTATAAAACCTCTGCACAGACCCTTCCTGCGTATGCTGGCCAAGTGTTGCTGCCCACCTCCAAGAAAGCATTCAAAGTGAACAGTAGAATTCAGTTTTTATAAACATATAAATGATGTAAGAAATATTTTAGTCAACGATCTTACCCATGACATTCAAGCTGCTTGTGAACACCTATTTTTCTCATGACTACTGCAAACAACGGTGAGTGAGCTTCAGTTGTGATGTACTTCTTTTCATTCTCATCCAGAGTTCGAAATAACGTCTGTTTCTCCATATTATCTGGATCTGTGATCAGAGGTAGAAAAGCGTACGTGAATTTTGGACTTCCGTGAATAACAAACTTCACAGCACTCCATACAGCTATTGTCGGGAATGAATTCAACTGTTCTAAATCACCTGAAAATAGTTAAAAAATTTATAAGATGAACTGAAAGTACTATAACCTAATTTTCTGGTGACAAAAAAGTAGGTTCTTTCAACAAAATTTAAATAAATATAACAACCACAATGTAAGTCGATTCGATATGAGATGAATTCAATGTTGATCAGGATATCTAAGTAATAATTGTGATAAACTAACCAGTGGAATTTGACGAATGAAATCCGGAATACGAAAATAAATTTCACATTATATATGGTGGCACCTCAAAAATTTGTTGAATTGATTTCATATATATTTATGAACAGTCATTTGTGGTAAACAAACGACAGAATATCAAACTCCAACTACAACTTTCTGATCCCTGATAGTTTTAGCGCCTGATGAAAATTATGAAAAGTGTGTAATCCCTTTATTACCTTTTTTTATTTTCATTTTGATAGAGTTGAAACCCATTGAATAAATGAGTTATTAGCACATTTGAACTATCTTAGGGACACTGTTGAATCTTCGTACAAGGAAACTTTTCACATATACTCAGTGGGCATACCTGAACGAATTGTTCCTTCAGATGATTTGATTTATAGCCAATCTTCAAGTATGCCCACTGACTATATGTGATTAGTATGAATAATCAATACCTACCTACCTCGTACTAATATGAAACATATGTTAGCTGTCAAGAAACAAAACAAGTAGAATATGATAGCTAATACGAGATCCATTTTAGTACGTATACCTTCTGCGCATTTTGAGTTCCTGACTCATCTATGTGGGTATTTCTTTCATCTCAAAGAGTCCCATGAATGTACAGTTTACAGTTATTTTCTCAGCGATATTTACAGCGCATTTATTCAGTAGTTATCAAGAATGGACTACTAAGTGAATCAACTGATGATTGCATACCAGACATGTTAAATATAAAAATGAAATAACGTTTGCTGGTCCAGGAGTGTCATCGAGATTGGTGTTTCAATACCTCGCCGAACTTAAGCAACTGACGGACATTGACTCTATACTGACTAGCATGGTCCTCAAGAATCATAGGCAGCAAAAATTCTAATTAGATTACTAGACAAATTCCCTGAAACATCTGTGTGAGACAAATGACAAGATATTTGTCAATAAAAAAACATAAAAATTACTGGAACATATATCAGAGAACATAAATGTTAAGACACTTGCATACCAAAAAGCTTAGATGCAGACAATGCAACAAAATAAGATGAACAATAAACGATCTACAAAATACACCAGCGGATAAAAATTTTGGAATACACGTCATGAAAACATGAGGAGAAAAACGCAATGTTTTCCAGAAATGAGAGAGCCAGACTGCTATCAGACAGCAACATTATTCTAGACATGTAACAGTCTTTGATAATCACACTTTACTTTGTTTAAACTAAAAAATAGTTTTTCCGATGATACCATTTTCTCTTAGATCCTCACTTAGCAAACCGCAGCCAAAAAGTAGTTATGAACGATGTTATGTGGACTAGTTCTAATGTAACATCGAATGTACCTCAAGACTCAATATTGAGGCCACTGCTTTAGTTATATATAAGATTTACTGGAATGAAGGCTCATGCAGGGGATAACCAAATATATTCTACTTTGAATTCAGAGAGTTTTCAAATAGTTTAAAATCATATCAACAGTATCGTTGAAAAATCGTCTAGCAGCTAAGCAACTTGAAGAATGAATCCACGAATAATTTAGGAATGATTTTTGATTCTGATTTGATATCCGGTTCCTTATTTCAGTAATTTCCTCAAGAAGTTTTACAATGGCCTGAGGTTGATTAATGATCATAGACATTACTTGAATCAACCAATATGTAAATTTCCCAATATTACTGGATATGTTTTCTAAGGAAATCTCACAAAATTTGAGCAAAGCCCCATTCAGGAAGTACAAAATTTTTGAAATGGTTGACAATACCTATCCGCAAAAATTATAACTTTTGTTTATTATTATACAGAAGACAAATATCTAGGTCGACTCTCCATTCATATGGTGCAGGAAATCAATTTTTTGCACCAAAAACTGTCAATGACATTATTGTCAATTACTATAACTCGAAAAGTCAATATCTAAGTGTGAATGATTGAAATAAGTAATACCTTTTTCCCCTTGATACTGAACCTTCAGCCCGCTGCTAGATATCTCCAATCTCCCTGTTAGAGTTTTTGGCGACCTTATTATTTTTTTGTAAGCAAAGTACAACTCTTTCAGCGGATTTTGTAGCCCTGACAGACTGGTCACTTTCTCTTGAAGAGGAACAGACCCCAAGTAATCCACGGAGAAGTTGTGCAATCCAATGTCGTCCAATGGAATACCGTTATCCATTGCAACGTCGCTAAACATTCTCTCGATTTTGGCTTGGACGCTGTTTTTGCTACTGCTTGAGTCTGATTCAAACATGGAATCAATTTTCTGTTTATAGATCGAGTATACGCTGCCGGTTTCCTCATTTTGGTAGTTGTGTTCCACTAGTCGAAAACCTGAGGAATAATTTGATTTTTGTCATAATTATGTGCAAATGAATAGATAGATACTTTGTTTGACTACGTCACGTAGGATTTGCAGTAAGGCATAATACATTAACATATACAAAAAATACATGAATACAATTGCTAATATCACAAGGATAATAACACGAATACAAAAATAGACTGAATGCTGAAATGTAGAGATTGCAAATACTGAGACACGATGGGAAACCAGAAGTTCAAGCAGAAAATTCAACTACATGATAACTCACTGTTGAAGCAAAACGAGTATCAAAGTCATATTCGTCAAGAGTGTAAAAGAAGCTGCTAATGAAAAAACAATTTGATTGCTTTTTTGAATTTCTAATACTTGTATACCTAAAGTAGGTGATATGTTAGAGTATAAAATAGTTGTAGTTGAGAAATAACTTTTAGTTCACGCTTGAGGAAGCCATTGTATAGCGAAACACGCGGTTTTTGTAAAACCTTTTATAGTGAGAACGATACAATAAGCTTTCTGAATTAAAAAGCGAATATTTTCAAAAGAGACTAGTTTTTTTACATTGAAATTGAAATGTAGTAAAACTCTCAAAAAAAAAATAACTACTACGAAAACTCTTCATGAAAGCATGTAGTGCGTACACATACTTTTTTTCAGATACAAATTGGAAGAAAAAAATTTTCTCGAAACATTTACATTACATGAAAATCACGTTTACCTCTTCAGTTTGCACTACATTCATTATGGAATTGGAAGTGATTTCATTCATAGAAACGCTACATGATGTGATGTAAGGGAGACTTTTCTGTTCTGCCTGTTCTGTTGAAATCTGTTTTTCTATTAACCAGCTGTCGCCCCCCTACGAACAGCAACTCTCAAAAGTCAAAACTTGTGCGAGCTAAGAACTAACTTGTGATTCCTAACGTAACATATCATAACATAATGTAACATAACATAATATTACATAACATAACGTACATACGATAACATAACATAACATAACATAACATATCATACCATAACATAACATATCTTGTCACCTCATTAGCACCGTTATGGATAACATTACAGGGCCTTCCCTATCCAGACCCTTTCACATATCATAGTATGTAGCGTTCCTTTTAATGATATCTATTTCGATTCCACGAGTTTGTTGTTCAAATTGATGTGAAATAGTGATTTCGTGTAATGCAACGTTCACTCGAAAGTAGTGTTTGGGAAGGATTGTTTCCTTGTATGTAATACTGTATTCATGTAGAATTAGTTGTTTCGAAGGGTTTTTCTTTTAGCTTGTATCTGAAAGAAACTTCTGTGTATGCAGGACATGTATTTATAAAGAGTTCCCATTGTAGTTATTTTTTTTATTTCATTCTTTGGAATTTTCTCAATATTTTTGTTCAATGATGGCGAAGTAGAAAGCCAAAAAGCTTATGTTAGGCTTCTCTTCCCAAACGAGTTATCAGATAAATAAAATATGTTAGATATAAAGATCTTCAGATAATGTGGTGCTGCAGGTTTTTCCGGGTAGCAGCGACAATTAATTTTTGTTGTTTCATAATTTCATGATCTGTATTGAAAAGTGATTTACAAAATAGATACCAAAATAAATAACNAGTTACATGGAGTCCTCTTGCTTTTCACACTGCCATTCCTAGATAAATTATTTTTTTTGGCATAGGGTTCAGATCCAATATTTCTCGAAAGGGGGACGTTGGGGAGAGCAGGCGGATGAGGTATGACAGCCTTATCCATGTTACACATGACCTCTTTTGGCAGGTTAGGAGTCATTTGTTTTTCATCATTCCACCAGACTCACGAGACATAAACTTATGGCTGTGAAACACCTGAAACAAATAGACAGTTGAAATGGAATACTTGCTTGCTATTTTTCATGCTGTTTTTATAATATAATCTTATCAATAATTTGAAAGGTCCAATGAAAACTATTTTGGAAATGAACAGAAAGACGAATAAACAGTAATTTACAAAAATTCAATCGACTTTAAAAAAGGAATTAACGCATAGGTGAAAAAATTATATTTCTATATACAAGGTGTTTCATAATTGAATGCTGAGCCTGAAAGGCGATAATCCTTGGATTGATAAAATAAATTTTCATAGGAACATAGGTCCGCAAACTCAACACCCAAATCATTTCTCTTCTAATATTTTCAGGCTTCATTTTTTTCTCTATGCGAAATCAGCTGATGAAGTGTAGTAGTATTACATAAGCAATTTTGACAATTCTCTAGCTAGATACGTGATTTTATTAACGTCATAAAAACTTGTTTATAAAAAAACATGGTAAGTTTCACGAATCGAATCAAGCGCTTACCAAATAGCATAATTCCTTATGTTCGAACGATTTCAAGAACCCACAAAGGAATATGTGAAACAGGACATTTGGAGCCAAATCATCACTTGAAAGGAGCACATTGGATTGCAAGAACTCCAGCAAAGGAGGTAGCTGTTTCAAATTTAAGTGACAAAAATCCTGAAATGAGTAGCAGGCGAATTGTCAGTAATTTGAATATCAGTCACATTCTAGCAGGAGGACTTTGATTGAGTATTTATTATACCCCCACCATATTCAACGGGTTCACGCTCCAGTTTCTCCAGACTCCCACTTACGAGTGAACTGCCAATGATTTCTCCAAAAAGTTACCAAAAAGCCTTAATTTAGAAGAAGCATTTCTCATTAAATTTTTTACTATGCATATTAAATGGACATACTTGCCGATTTCTTGAAGATAATGTGCCAATTAATCTAATGCGAAATGGCATATGGTTTCTGTTGACTTGAACCATATTGATTTTTTAGTGGATATTTGTGAAGACTATAGGAATTTTCCAATTACAGGTCAAATATAATATTAACAAGCGTACCCGGCAAACGTGGTTCCGCCTAACAGTCAATGAATGAGCGGATTTAGGATTTTAAA